CATGCCTTTCTTTCCAGAGGGAAGAAATAAGATCTGATCATAATGAGACTCCCTTGTCTATTTTAGCCAGATTTGATAGTTCAAGATCCTACATAAATAAAAAAACTGTTTCAAAATCAGAAATGTCATTAGCAGATTCCATCATGATTCAAACAGACTCACAATCATATGTTTATGAATCACTATCAAATAGTCACTACACCTCGTATGAACATGGGATTCACCCCAATATATCCCTGGACTATTCTATAAACCACCCTACAAGAACCAGGTAAGATTCCCAATCTAAACAATCATCCTAAGATGAAGGTACATTATTACCTGGCAAGTCCACACAAACATTCCAATAACCATCTCATATCATCACAGGATAAAACCAATATATCCCTGGACTATTCTATAAACCACCCTACAAGAACCAGGTGAGATTCCAGATCTAAACATCCATCCCAAAATGCAGGTATTACCTGGTGAGTCAACAGTCCAATAACCATCTCAACATTCCAATAACCATCTGTGGTTCTTGAACCTCCCATAGGTATGTCCATTTAAACATTCCAAGCCAGTCTTGGGTTATGTGGAGCTCTTGGTTGTGTGGAGCTCGTCCCAGGTGCAGTAAACTACCTACACTACCAACACCTGTAATTACCTGTAATCAGTTCGATCATGTGAAGCGAGCACAACAGCAGCATCACGAGCAACACCACCAACTACCCCTTTGTGTCAGGACAACTGCACCACAAAGACACATTCAACCTGTCGTCTGCGACAAATTTAGATTTAACAAAACAATTTTTCAAAGCAGAATGTCTCACCTTACAAATATCTGATATTTACAAACACAAATCTATGTCAATGAACATCACATCTTAAATATATATAAAACTGTTTTTATCAATTTCGATCACTCACAAGGTTATACCATATTCATAAAATTCATAACTATGTTTTAAAACTCTGCTATGTTATGAGGATATTACGGTACAGAATACATAATTATAAGAGCAATCTGTTGCAGAAGAATCAATAATCTGACTGGTTGTCAATATCAACTCGTCAATCATAACTTCACTCACTGATTTTTTCCATAAATGCAGCATGTCAGGAGATGCTAAATTACCATGGGTAAATTTAGAACAAGTCAGTTTCATATATATTTATATAGCTGACAATTGATCATCCACTGTTGTCAGCTGATTGTATTGAATCTGTGGCTATTCAGTGCTATGAAGGAATAATTCATTAGCTGCAACTTGACCTCTTGTTACAACGATGTATATGTAAACAACATACCATGGCCCCACCAAAGTTAGTTTTCTGTTTAAAATATATAAATATAATTTGTTTTTATTTAGTTTTTGGATTATGTGAAATGACCATTGAATCTCTCAAGATTTCTTGCACAAATTGATCTCCATTAAATTTTACACAAGTTAAGATTTTTACCTTGCTGAAAAAACACAAAACAATTAAACTTTGATTCAGAAGACATCTAAAAAACCCTACTATATTTTGTGACTAATATTTGAGGTAATTGTGCAACGATGACTATTTAACCCTGTTTTCTTAAACAATTAGTGTACAGACAGTCAAGGAAATACCATTATCAACTCAATGGGAAGTATACAACACAAACAGTCTGTGAGCTACTACAAGGATAATTGTCACTTTACCATCTCATCCTTATGGGTGCCCATTTACTGCTGGGTGAACTGAGGCGGATTTTTCCCAAAAGAACAAAGTGGCTAGAAATCCAGCTGCCTAACATGTCACCAGTCCCAAGACAGATGTTTGCTTAACTTCAGATGTTTTGTGACATGTGACCTTTCCACAGAATCATGTGCCACAAGAAATAAAGTGAATCTTTATTCCTAATATAGGAATAAAGTGCAAATGTATTAGTTGATTCAGATTATAATCATTCAAATCGTCTATCCAATCCAAAAATTATTTCCACTTGTACGTATCAGTTGACAATTTCAAAAGGTGCATATTTTCATATTGTTATCATTATTAAAGTCTGTGAGTGAGTGAGTGAGTGTAGCAATATTCCAGCAATATCCTGTCATGATGATACCAGAAATGGACTTCACACATTGTACCCATGTAGGGAATCAAACCCGGGTCTTCAGCATGATGAGCAAATGCTTTAACCACTTGGCTACCCCACCACCCCTCTAGAGAGGTAAAGATGAATACCATCACCACAGCTGTTCTTTGCTGGCTCAACAAAAGTTTTTCTACACAGGTTCTCACTAACACACACTCTATGTTGATGCAGTCTGCAGATGATATTGAGTAAAATGTATTGTATATTAACCAAACACATCCATGTTGGTTTTGTATGGCCAAAGTGCAGAAACACCATGATGAAAATATCACATCTAAACCTGGAACTGGATTCTGTAGTTTGGGAATGAACCAAGCAAATACTATGATGCAATAACATATCTCAGGGTAATATTAGCAGGAAGTGATGGTTTAATATGAAATTCTACTTATTTCTTGTATCCTTTGATTTTTTATCAAGCTCAGATGAACACTTGCTCGATTTACTTTCTGCAATATGTACATCTGATTCAGCATATATTTGAAGTGGAAGCAGATAGACATAAAAGTCGTTCATAGGAATGTAGTTTCTCATGTACATTAATTCTTTCCCTTGGAAGCTGTTGATGAGGGCAACTAGCTGAATATAAACTGGGCCATTAACTGCAGAGAGCACTCACTTTGCACTTTAATATTCAGGATTTAAACTCCTACTATCATTTTATTGGGCATCTACAAAGAGAACTTGGAGTGAGATACCTTTCAACTTCATCTCAAGAACATCACCCACTATTTCTTGTATTTCTCGAGCCAAAAAATATTTACATCCAATCTTTAAGGGACATCTTTCTTATCTTTGGGAGTGTGTTGAGTTTAATGCCATGTTAAAGTTATATCAGGGCAGGTCATCTTCATGTGCGAGGATGAGCGTAGGTGAGTTTTACGCCGCTTTTAGCAATATTCCAGCAATATCACGGTGGGGACACCAGATATGGGCTTCACACATTTTACCCATGTGGGGATTCGAATCCAGGTCTTTGGTGTGATGAGTGAACACTTTAACCACTAGGCTACCCCGACGCTCCTCATGTGGGATGAAAACCCACAGCGATGTTTCAAGCTATGGCAAAACCTATGAGGATAGATATGGTGTTGACAAACCTAAAACATCGTTGCAAACCAGGATCTTGGGTTTCACCAATGTGGTAAACGTCTCAAGCACCTGCAAAATGTCTGCTTCTCTCCCTCATGCTGTGTTATAATCGAAATACTGTTTGTTCCCTCACTCATTCAGCCTGAAGTGTGAGGGTTCAAGTATATAGCATGTACCCATGTGAGGAAGTGCAGCCATGATGCCGTTGTACAAAGCAACCTTAGGGTTACGACTGTCGTAAGTCTTTTTTGAGGTATGGGTGTTACGTTCAAATAATGCTACGACTGTCATAAGTCATTGAGGTATGGGAGTTACGATCACCTTAGAGCTACGACTGTCCTAAGTCTGTGTTGAGGTATGGGAGTTACGATCACCTTAGAGCTACGACTGTCCTAAGTCTTTGTTGAGGTATGGGAGTTACAATCACCTTAGAGCTACGACTGTCGTAAGTCTGTGTTGAGGTATGGGGGTAACGATCATCTTAGCGCTAAGGTTGTCTTATACCACGGCACCTTGGTCTTTGGCATGTTTATCGATATATTGAACGTCACAGCAATGGTCTAGCTATATGACAATGCTTGTAAATAATTATCTAGACCAGACAATCCAGTGACTGAAATTATCACAACACACAACACACACACAGTATACGTTTCCCATATAAACACATACTGTCGATCATATGCATCCTAAAACAAAATTTTATATGAAGCTTAAATAGGTTTTAAATGCAAATTCATCCTCGATGTATGAAACACAAAACTGGACAAAATTTGTCACCTATGTGACACAATCAGTATAAACCAATTTGCAAGGCCCATAAATCAGTCTGAGCCTCTGCATAGAATAGCTCTGTCCCGCTGTGTGTGTTCCACCATGACACGCTATGAAATCGTACACCAAAGGGAATGACAAGTATATTTTCTACTGTGACCAGAATTTGCATTACAAAACCATGAATCTGTCACCGAACACACGTTCATAGAAGGAATACAGCTGCCATCATTACGTCAATGGATAGTATCATAAGTTAATTTAATCCTCAGTGACAGCCTTTTTATCGCATTTAGGTCGGGTTTGTAGTTACAAATAATGGTGTTATTTCTTTTCTTACTAAAGCCAGCTGTCTATCTAAAGTAATACTATTCTGGCTTTGTCAGGTGATAAATAACATCTACCAATGCTGTCACCACACATTAACAAAGATGAGACAGTTGTGAGGATGACATTCTCAGGTGAGTGAGTGAGTGGTGTTTAATGATGAGCAAAAAAGTATTCGCAGATCCAGGATAGGGGTAAATCTCGAATGTTTCATTTTATCTAGTATTTTCTTCCATTCATGACTAATCATCAATATAGAAAGCCTGTGATGTGATCAAAAATGGTGAAATCATCTGTCTGTAAGAGTCAATTGTCTTTCTCACATATTTGAAACCTTTGTTATTTCATGCACCTGGGAGAAAGTGAGAAAACTGTGAGGTTTCAAATACATAGCATTTATGCATGTGGGGAAGTAAACCAGGTGTTTGGTTTGAAATTTGTTTATTGTTTAACATCACAGCAAAGGTTGCTATTCGACAATGCCTGTAAATAATCCAGACCAGACAATCCAGTGACTGAAATTATTAGAAACAATCGACTCCATCGAGGTCACTAATCTTGACCAACAATCCTATTTCCCTTGAATCCTCATAGGTTTCAGGATGACGAGCAGTCTTTACACACGTTTTCCTTTATATACTAGCTGTTGACTATGGAATCCAATGTAATACAAGCTTAGCAGAGTTGTGTCCCTTACCTTATTGAGTGGAGCGAAGAGGTTGGCAAGCTTGTTTGGCGTTTTGCTGAGTTTTCTTCCCTCACTGAATGTAAGAGTTCCTTGTGGGCTGGTAGAGGGGACGGAGAATGTCTCATCAATGGACAGGTTGATGTTTCCTCGACGAGATCGTAAGCTTCCCTGCAAGATCACTGGCTGTTAAAGGACATGATGATAACAGACCAATATCTAATAAAGAATATTATTAATAAATATCTCATTCAAATCAATGCAAACATATTTGATGAATGTTTTTTAACACATACTGAAATTATTTTTTTCCATTTTCATTGCTTATTTTTTTTGTCTTTACCACTTTATTCTTAATATCTATATCAATATTTGTGATTTCTGCATTATTAACCATATATGAAACAAGATTGTGAAACACATTTTCACTTCTTAAATGAGACAACAAACCTGAAGCTCAAGAGTTTATTTAACAAAAGCCCTGTTTCCAGAAAGGCTAATATTATGAAATATGAAATTCATCAAGTGCAATAAATTAAAACTATATAGAAAATATATACCCTGCACTTGTACAAACCAATCAAAACACAGCACTCATAGACACCTTATACATGACACCATGACACAACATGCTTAAATTTTGAAAAAAATGACAATGAAAATAATTAGGCATTCATGACACATCTATCCCCTAATAATATTAAAGCTTGGTGAGAAAACTATCAAAACATACACAACATCACCTACTTGTTTTTGCATACATCTTATTGAACATTTTCACTACAGCACAATGATGAATAGTATACTAGGTGTTCAATAATATCAAGCAGGTTCGAGTTTGAGTCTGGCTCACACAAACCAGTGGTTGAGAGAGTGACAACCCGGTATGACACAATCCTGATGGCACTATCAAGGATGCTTCTTCCATCAAAGTACAATTTATACCAATGGGAAGATCTGAGTCTAGCAACCATACTCATTCTTAGAGTGAGTGAGTGAGTGAGTGAGTTTAGTTTTATGCCATCTTTGCAATATTTCAGCAATATCATGGCGGGACACCACATTGTACCCATGTGGGTATTCGAACCTAGGATTTGGGCGTGACAAGCGAATGCTTTAACCACTAGGCTACCCCACCACCCCACTTGTTCTTAGAGGTTGGATCAAGTGGTGACTCGGCTGATGCATGCTGAGCTCATGATGTCAATTGCTCAACTGGCTTTTTAATTTACAGAATGCTGTCTTATAGGTGGAATATTGCTCTGTGTGATGGTAAGCAACAAGCACACTGTACATACTCTTCAGCCATTGTGGCCACACAATCACCATTCTAATCCCCTTAGCGCGCCAACATGGTGTATTACAGCAGTTTATTTGTTGTTATGATACAGCTATATGGTGGTGGTCTGGACCAGACAATCCAGTGATTCACATTATGATCAGCCATCTTCATAATTAGTGAGTGAGTGAGTGTAGTTTTACGCCGCACTCAGCAATATTCCAGCTATATGGCGGCGGTCTGTAAATAATTAGGTCTGGACCAGACAATCCAGTGATCAACAGTATGAGCATCGATCTGAGCAATTGGGAACCGATGACATGTGTCAACCAAGTCAGCGAGCCTGACCACCCAATCCTGTTAGTCGCCTCTTACGACATCATCTTCATAATTAAGATACATTGACATGCATCAGGCACCTTTGTTACTCAATCCTGGTTGTCAACAAGCATGGGCTGCTGAAGATCAATTCTAACCTTGATCTTCATTAGCATTGATGTTGTAGATTATGTGTATCACCATGACAGCCAATTCTGGGGATGAAGTTATTGATATCAAGTCACAATATGGCCAAAACAAAGCCGATGTGACAATACATTTAAATACAATCAAGCTTAATTGTTCAATGTGATTTTACTCATTTTACAGAAAATACAATTTTATAACATTTCACATGATATGTTCATCTTTTGATGCAAGTACACATCAAAGTGCATCTATATTTCTTCACCACCATCTGTGTGTTCTGCAAACTGTATACACTTGGAATCCATAAAAAATTCATACAATAAGTAACAAAATGTATTTTCCCAATAACACATTTTGCCACCTAAAAAATGAAACACTAAAAACATCCATAAATCAGAATAATCTGAAAATAATGGTTCATTTGGACTGAAAAGAAATGGTTCTCAAACTATAGATTTTCAAAACTTTATGCAGGCAAAAAGCGTGCTACTATTTACATGGACTAACATAAGAATGATGGAGTGTCTTTACTGATGAAAACAGTGAAACCTCAAATTCAATCAAATCAGTATTTTGTGTGAAAAGTTTGAAGAATTGACCATGGTCCTTTATTTAAGGCTAATGGTCTGTTCTATGTCTACAGTCCCAAATGTAAAATCTATACCCCAATTACATTACAACTGTGTCCACTATATAATGTGGCTGAAAACAGAATAATAAAATATCAAAATATGTCCAAATTTACCTGCAAAGTAAGAAGTTATAAAATCTGAAATGTCTAGTTTGAACACAATATAAAAATATCACCAACAAAAACAAATTCTAAGTTTTGGACAAATATGCATATTTCCATATACGCTGCCAAGATAACAGGAAAAACAAATTCAAAATGTCTAATTTGAATGCAACCGTAAACTATCTACAACAACAATACAAATGCCAAAATGTGGACAAATAATCATTTCAGATTGTGTCAGCCATAATATTTAGTTTAAATTCCCAACATGTTTGATATTCTTCAAGGTTTCACTGTTTTTGTTTTCAACAATATCAAATGAATGTATTGTTTAATACAAGGAACCAGGTATACACATTTGCAAACACATTGATGGTATGTGGCACTGAGCTAGTCTCTGTGATCTAACAAAGTGATGTGCAGTGCAAGAAGAAAAGACTACCTGTGCAGATTTCATCAACAACTTCCATATTGATTATTACCTGAGTACACACAGCTGACATACACCTGTAATCAGGCTGTGCACAATGGTAAACTGGGGACAAGTCCACAGTGGAAACAACACTGATTGAAACACACATAAAATCCCCACCCCAGCACAAGACATGGGCTCACTGACAGTCCCAGATAACACAGGTGGACATGTGTCCAACACAGGACACAGGTGGACATGTGTCCAACACAGGACACAGATAATGGCAGAGTTTGACACAGAAACACAGCACACACCTACAGAGCTATAACTTGAGGGAAAAGAGTCTACATTTTGAGCAATACCATAAAAAATGTAAAACACAGATATTTTAGTGAAGAAGGATGGTTAATTTCTACAGTTCTAAAACACATTCTTCTTTTGGTTTAATCAAAGGATTTTATTCAATACTTCCAATTCAAAGAATAGAAGATTGTATAAATTGTTAACTTCTACATTTCAAACATATTTGTTAACAAAAAACTTTGAATATTTGTAGCTCAGGAAAATATTTCAAATGTTTTACCAAAGTGAACCTTAAAATTTCCTTTGCCAAATTTTGGAATTAAAATACATAAAAAATTAAGAAGACAGGAAATATTTTGTTGTTTGCTGTAATGACAAATGTTGAAAATATTTTCTCTATTCTTACAATTTAAATTTCTAATTTTGATGCGATGATACTACAAACTGCCAGCCATTCAAAACATGCCACAGCATGAACACAACACAGAACACATACTATGGTAAACAAGCCGTATACACCATCCATGCAGGGGGGATTGTGGGATACTACAAGAGACGAGAGAGTTGACAAGGAGTATATGTATATATGTATGTAAGTTCATGCAAACTTACAAAGGAGTCATCATAGACTTTCAAACCATCCCCAGATTTGCCCGATGAGTTTTCATTCTTTGATATACTGAAGAACTGTAGCGAGCCCCGACGTTGTTTTACCGGTGGGGGCTCAAGCAGAACGGGGACTTGTGTGACCGATTCTCGTCGTGCGTTCTTCTACATAAATGACAAATGGTGTTCAAGGTGGTAGAACATCGCCAAGATGCTGTTGTTCGCTTGTGTCAGTAGACTACAGTGGACTAGTTTGAGGGTTTAGTAGTGTTTTCCATGTTAACTTGGAGGAGCTGTTTAGTAATTGTTGTTTGTAAATGTAGGGGGGGATAGAAGGGTGTTATAGGTTACAGAACAAACCTGGTACCATGTTACACAGCCAGCTGGCTTGTGGGTTTCATCAACATTATCAGTATTCAACATTTTCATGCGAGTCTTCACCGGACCCACTTGAGTGAGTATGATTTTACGCCGCTTTTATCAATATTGCAGGAATATCAAGACTTGGATCACCCAAAATGTTCTACATACATTGTACCCATGTGGGAATCGAACCCAGATCATAGGCATGAGAGCTAACGCTTTCACCACTTGGCTATCCTAATGCCACTAATCAATATGAAATTTAAATATTACCAATTAGATTTCATCTCCTAAAATTAGTGGTTATTATTAATGTCAGGTTTCCATAGCAACACATCATGAAGGATGCAGAGCTATGAGCTTCATATTAGGTCATTAATATTTAAAAATTCTTTACAAACTTTCTACGTCAATATGCAGAGTAGAGGAAATTGATGCAAAAAAAAATACTCAAGGATGATTTGAGGCTAATAATTTTTATAAAATGTTGATTTTTAGGTATAACTGCCATCAAACCATACATTTCACTTTCTTTGTACAACCTGGAGCAGGTTCATCCATAAGCAAGAAAACAATCTTCTACAACTGACATAAAAAACAACAACAATGTTCCTTAAAATAGTTTTAAATTTTTATAATTTTCAATTTAATTTTAGAAAAATTAGTAGCTATGGAATTTCCATTAACATTTCTAGTCTCTGTTTACAGTGATACAAAAACTCTTGTTGCAACACTTCATAAAATTTCCTCTGCCAAACATTTCTAACATTTCCGATTCAGATGAAATACATCCCAAATCATGAACTGAGCAAAACACAAGAAATATTTTCTTGCTTGTTCTGATCAGTACCTTCTGATCACCCAATCAAACCACTCTACCTCAAAAGCTGCGGGAGTGTTGGGGAGATGGGGGAGACTAGGAGGCTGTGTGAGATTGTGAAATATGTGGCTCCCGAACACAGACTCTGAATAATGCTTGTGAGGGTGCTGTGAAAGTAATCCAGCATTGCAATGTCAAGCTGAAGGATTTGGTGAATAATTTATGTGCCCTTAACCTTCCACTGTCATAAATCCCACCAATATAAGCGCTCCTGGCTTATAATATAATATTATAATCCATTATTTCCCCCTTTATTGTTTTCTGAATGTAAATCTATCATTATGCATACAAACAATAAATACATATTTATACTGACATTCAAACAAGTCCTGTTTACTACTCAGTCTATTTTCCAGGAATAATTTTTTACAAATTTCCTCATCTGAATTGATGGATTATTTTCAATAAAACAATTAAATTATTGTAGGATACTTATATTGCGCACATATCCAAGCAACTAGTGCTTGCTCAAGGCGCAATATTTTTTCCCTCGTTCATTGGATGTCATTCTCAATGGCATATCGTATTATCAATCTCAACTCCCTTGGGAGTATACAACTCTTGCAGCCACTAGGTGCACCGAGTTATTGCGGCTTTCTCATCCTAATGACTTTGGCTAAGACCTTGTATCCCAAATTATCATTTCTTTGCATTTTTGTGCACACTATAAGCAGATAATACCAGATTTTTCAGCAGGTTTTTTTTCTTTTCAGGAAGAATTCTGCTTGTCATTTCAGGGGTTTACTTTTAAATAATAATTTTAAATTTAAAAAACAGTATTCAAACTTTCAACACTACATGAAAGCTTACCAGTATTAGGGCCATTTGCTCTTTTTTAAATTACAAATCAGCATCTTGAAATTTTAACATGAAAGTTTAATCAAAATGAAAACAGATGGCCCTAATATTCCATAAAATTGTCCAAAGAAACCAATCACCAGGCTTGCAATCAAACACCAACTGTCTAACATCACACTTTTAATTCCAGGTTTTCAAAATTCCTGTACCGCCTTCATTTCAAGCACCCATTCCTCCAGTCTCAAGAGACTGTGATTGGTTAGTACTGGTGGGTTATATACTGGGTTAGTATGTTATAAGTTAGTACTGGTGAGTAGGGTGTAACAATGCTGAAGTATAATTGGCATCAAACATTTCACAAACAAATGTCATGTTATTGGCATGTTAATAAGCATTTTATTTAACAATCAAACATGAAGCACACAAAACAAATATCTTTATAGTACTGGGGTATATTATTCACACTGAGGATGAGCTTGGAAACAAAATATTCAACAAAAACAAAATTATTTTCAAAATTATTATTTGTATTATTTGTAATCCGTAAACATGACAGAAAGATTTCTTTAACTGAAAATATCCCACGATTTTAAAGACCCTAATATGCCCTAAAATATTTTTTACAAAACAAATAACATTACTTTTCTCAAAACAAAATCAAAATCTTTTGCAGCATAAGCATATATGATCCAGTTTGATATTTTTTCAAATCCACTTTCATAGGTTAAGATATTAACAATTTCCAAAGAAAACAAAAAATTCCAATTGAATCATAAATCAATGGTCCCCCAAACAAAATCATTTAAATCTGTAAATTCATTGTAACAAAACCTTTATATGTAAATGTGTTTTGTGTACTAAACAAGTATTAATTTTTCAAACAAATGTTTTCATGATCCCTAACTTTTTGTGTTCAGTATAAACACTTTCGCTTAAATCACATTGTTATCTCTGCTGGATGTGGCTCCGTTATCTTCCATCTCAGCTGTTTCTCTCCAAACTGACATGTTTAGTTTAACTTTAACACTCTAACACTTAACAGTGTTAAGCTGATTTCACAGCACTGCATCACACAGACAGTCAAATGACATCACAAGAGAACTTACCCCGGCGGACTTAGTTCCTTTTGTTGAGGTGGATTTGGAAGCACTTGACGGACGACTACTTGATGCACTCCGACTTACAGCAGAATCTCCTTCTTTTTCTGAAAACACAGAATATCATGTACATATAATATCTTAAGAGCATGTTAACTGTGATAAAATGTTGGTTTTGATATAAGTAAGTAATAATCATAATGAGCTCTTATAAAATTTAACACAAAAAACCAAAAAACCCAACTATTTTAAAGTTTCAAATTACAACACAGAAATCCAAATATGTCTCCAAATATGAAAGTAGTGAGTGAGTGAGTGAGTTTAACACAGCTTTTAGCAATATTCCATCAATATCACTGTGGGGACACCAGAAATGGGCTTCGCACATTGTACCCATGTGGGGAATCGAACCCAGGTTTTTAGCATGACAACAAACACTTTAACCACTAGGCTACCCCACCGTCCCATATATATATGAAAATAATAACAACAATGTTTTTTTAATAAATAGCCTTATATGAAATTCCTAGACTGAAATGTTCCATGGCTGCACAATCATGTTTACCTCAACACAGTATAGCTACACATTATTCTGTATCAGTATGTGAAATGTACCCAAATCACTTAAAGCATTAGTAAACTCTGGTCATGAATGTCATCTAATTTTTAACACAACACAAGCCAATGTCAGCTCATGCATTTGACACACAAAATATTTATTTCGAAAAAGTTATCTATTGGAGATTGGTATTCATATCTATACTGAAACATTACTATTGGAGAGATTAAACTATAATAACACATTAAAGAAGTTGTTATCCATAAATTGTGTCCATCAACTTCTAAGAAACGTTGCCACATGATACATAAGGAAATTTTATGAAACCACCTCTAACGCACGTTATGAGCAGAATATTGTCAACTCTTCCCATCACCACCAGTTTCAATGCAAAGGCAGCCTCCCCTCAAGTAATCAACAATTGTCGATTGTTCATACTGTCATTGCCATCAAACAGTCAAACGTCATTTTACATTCTGAGCTCTCACACGGAGGCTCTAATCCACAAGGCATCGTCAACTCCTGGCATCATCTTAAGCAAACTCCTCCGCAGCTTATGATTCTACCAAGGTTGACACAATAAAAATAACATTTTGATTGCCTTTGATTGCTGTGCCCAGTGAATGGGATCATTGTGTTTGGGGTAATTTTTGACGGAGGGACCGACCTCTTCTTTGTTTCCTCAAGGTCTGGAACCAACTGGCAGCAAATTTCCTATTTTAAGCATTTCTATTTTTTACTTTCACAGATAATTACGAACAGATAAGGAGGCAGCCGAATGACCTTTCGGTTGAAGATCAAGGTAAAGGATGAATGTTGCCGAGCTCCGCACCCACCACAAGAATGAAAGAAGGTCAAGTCTAATGAAGGACAATGCGCTATTTCAATAGCCTTTATTTTCAGTCATCTTTGGATGAAAAAATATAAATATTGTCAGATGAGATAAAGGTTTCTGCTGGTACAAGAAATGTTCCAGTTGACAGAAAACCCAAAGGAACAAACTGAATAATCTGAGCCCTGAAGATCAAATAAGCCGCCTTAAACATGCAAGTTTCTTTCATTATCTTAAATGTTATAATGCAACTCTTGTTCTTGTATCCTAATCTTTTAAAGTCCAAATTTTACCAACCAACATGTTTTATATTTGGGATTACACTTTTCAGTAAAGTACAGATTCTAGTACTTTTGTTGGGATTCGAACCCACACCCTCAGGTACCCAATCACCATCACACAAAGTCCTAAAAATAAACATGTTACATTGGAGAACTTTATACATGATACTCTGAATTCAGGACTTTACCAAGCAACACTTAAAATTTGATGCCACAAAAAGAAAAAATAAATAGTTATCACATGGTTTGATAAAAAAGTAATCTTGTGGTAATCTGGAGGTGTAGAGCTCCCCCTGCTGTTGTGAGACTCAGTTTAAAAGATTACAATAATTGAGCTAACTCCTTGTGTGTCTCAACCTAACAGCAGTGACAGCTGACGAGGCTATCAATCATCGGTTTGCCTGGCCAAGATCATCACTTATCTGGAATAATGCTGGCATAAAACAACATTCCTTCACAACTAAAACGGGACATGTAGGCTCTGGTGAAATAAGTCCTCATTGGCCTCAGTAGGATCTGCCTATCATACCATTCCCACAAAAACAACATGATAAAACTAATTGAAAAGGTATAGAAAGTTAAGTCTTGGAATAGCTTGTGAATGAAACATGCAGTTCACAAACCCAAGCTGCAGTGGGAAGTCAAGTGAGTGAGTGTAGTTTTTGGCCGCTTTTAGCAATATTCCAGCATAGTCCTGGCGGGGGACATCAGAAATGGGCTTCACACTTTGTGCTCATGTGCGGATTCGAACATGGGTCTTCGTCGTGATGAGCAAACATTTTAAGTACTAGGCTACCCCACCGCCCCTGTACATTTTGACCATACGTGTTGATGTCAGTGTGAAGTAAGTTACAAAACCAAACTACAGTGGTAAGTCGATAAGAGTTAGTGAGTATTGCTCAATGCTGAAGAAGCAGCCTGGCAGCTATTCACACAGACAGCCATTCAGCTCTTGACCAGCCAGGAAGGTTCCAAACACGAGCAGCCCAAGATTACCATGATTCTGACAAACAACTCTCAAATTCTCCACACTGGGAAAAAGTCATATCCAAATATGCACACATTTAGGCGGGATCATTTTAAGACACAAAATATGTAACGCTGCCAAAACGTCAACCTCTGGCTGAAATTCTTCCATGTTGACAACTCCAGGTATACATCTGGTTGGGCGCCAAGTTCACCATAGCTGGAGGAATTCCTCTATTGACACAATAGGGTGGGATCGCTGACCTTGTGCCACCATAATACAGTGTCAAATTCTGAACACTTATTCCAAATTTCATGTTTGCATACAAGGTTTCAATAATGAATCTACAACTCGTGTCGGAATGTCATTAGACAGATTATAGATCTTTGTAAACACATCCAACGAAAGTATTTCCAATTCTACAAAAGAGCAATCAGGATACAGACATTCAACTTTGGGAACCATCGTTAAAAGTACTCATTGAAAAATCAATGGTGTTTGATCATGAAATTTGTGTTTTGAAAGTACATAAAAATCATTCATACTGCATCTTTTCCAGCATTTCAGCAACAAGAGCAGGATCTGGTTATGGCTGACTGACTGACTGAGTTTAGTTTGACGCCGCTTTTAGCAATATTCCAGCAATATCACGGCGGGGGACACCAGAAATGGGCTTAACACATTGTGCCCATGTGGGGAATCGAACCCGGGTCTTCGGCGTGACGAGCCAACGCTTTAACCACTAGGCTACCCCACCGCCCCATCTGGTTATGGCGGTGATGGGACAGGACAACTTTGGAATTCTAGTTCCTGTTCTTTTGCCTGTTCCTGATGACTCTTCTACCAATGTTTCTGCTAAGACTTTTGACTTTGATGGTCAAGGCAGTAAGATTACTTTGCGTCTTTCCTCTGACAAGTGCCCCTCATCCTGGATAAATGCTTCCATGAACACCTGGTGTCATCACTCAATTGTTTTGTCCATTCACAGTGTTTCTGCTGGGGTTTTCTAACAGCTGTTACTGTGTCCGACAACCTCCTAATTTACCGGTCCTGCACGAAAATCTGCCGGTCACAGTCTGGATCATTTCCAAATGACTGTCAAACTGACCAATCACATTGCACGTAGTATAATGAATTTAGAAGGAAACCTCAAGTCACATGAAAATCGTTTTTGCCGATGTTATTATTAGAGGATTATTTGAGCGATTTTATTTCAATTTTGGTAACATTTTAAGCAGGACCAAAAATAGTTTTGGATATTTTACCGGACATGGTGACCGATAGCCTCCCGATTTATTTCCTGGGCAATTTTTACCAGCCAAAATCTGGTAAACGGAAACACTGATTCAGACATTTTTGCCGTTTACACCTAGCAGAATCTTTATTGGCAGATAATCGAGACTGATTACATAAAATTCATGTTCTGTCAAATATCTGATAACGATTGCATGAATTGCATCTGAATTATCAGTTCTGAATAAAAAAAATATACTTATCTAAATGCTTTAATTGATATTGTTGTTCCCTTTCTAATGTGACATTGTTTTATGGCAGTCAGATACATAAAACTATCCTATCCAACACATCTCATTTTCTCAGATGTTGAACAGGCGATTAAATTAAAATTAAAATTTATACTTCTGATTTTTATATTTAGAAAACAAAATAATATGAAATGATATTTTTAAACACTGTATTCTACATCTGATTCAGCAAGGAACTGCCTATCTTGCCCCACAAGTGGCATTCCCCTAAGGGCCATATGACAATAGACTGAAAACTGAATCAATAGAATCGTTGAATAATTAACTCTAATGTCGAAGTTTGACGTCAAAACCCCTCATCTTCAGGAATAACTGTTAGATGGAAAAACTGATTAAAAAATACTGGAAACATTTGCGGGGAACTAAAAGAATGACCAGCAATTCCTATCCTTCAACAGTGTATCAGGGGCTGTGAAAGACTTGGAATAAATGCACAACCAAACAAAAGAACATATTTATAGTTTTCCAATGAGAAAACAAGCTAAAATTCACAGAAAAACTCCATGTTAATGATCATGAATATTGTATTTGTATAAACTGGTTCTTCAAACTGAAATCCTTTTTAATGTCTTTGCCGCCTGAAATGCTATCAATGAAATATTTAATGAAGTCTCACACGGCAATGCTAAGATTATACCATGTGTATGGATGCATTTGTCGGCATGTAACATTATGCATGGGCATATACACACTATAATGCTGCAAATATTACACAGCTTTCCATACAGGACAATCTTGTTTTCAAAGGATTATATTGAGGTGTGAGAACATAAGCAGTAAAGAAGTTTAAATAAACAAAAAACAGAATTTGTATTGAAGTACACTTGACTTAGTATGTGCATCAGTGAAACATGAAATATGTACATTCGACTTCAATTTTTAAATTCTTCAAATGGTATGTAGCAGAATATATACATTCTGACT